AAAGGAAGAGAGAAATTATTTATTTAACCTGAAAATGCAACTGCAATTGTGCCAAAGTATTGCACTTAAGTAATATCTCCTAGTAGCCTTCTGAACAAACCAACGTGCTGGTGACTTCTTTACAAGGGGCTTCTTCACAGCAACCTATATATACACATTAATCCTACATCAGAAACAAGTGCTGCTTTTTTTTTGGTATATATTTGGAACACTTAGCTCTGCAAAAGAATTACTAGAGCTTGATCCCAATACCTGAGCCTAGGTACTTTCAGTAAAAAACTAGGAAGCATCCTTAAAAAAAAAGTGTGGAAACCAACATGACTGGCTGCTGGGGGAGCAGGAACTGACACTAGAGGAACATATAGTGGAACAGAGAAGGGGTTTGGGGTTGGATGGTGTGTAAATGCTATGGGATAACCCTGTGCCTAGGATTGCTTCTGCTTAAAAATGAAAAGCATAAGATACACATGTATTTCCAAGAAATTTAGATCCAGCTGCCTTTCCTGTTCTGGTTAACATGAGGCTGGTAATTCTCAACCACAGTGGCAGCTTCTGTGGTAGATGTGACAAGGTATTTCTAAATGCTTTCAAGGTAATAATGGAGCAAGTTTATGACCCAAGGAATTACACTAATAAAAGGGAAAGTTCACCCTCAGTTACCAAACACGATACCCAAACAGCTTAGGGCCATATTTTAAAAAGGGAACCTGGACACCTACCATACTAGGAAACAGATGCTCAAGTACTTTTGAAAAGCTGGACCCTATTCTCTTCAGGCAGAAATCATAGCACCAAATTTGGTTTATTGCCAGAACAAGAAAAAGCCTAGCAAAGTGGCTGAACTAAGCCTTGTACCCCTCCTTGTGAGCAAGTTACAGCACTTCACACACTGAAACCAAAAGGTACAAATTTCCTATTAGAGAAGAAATAAAGGGGCAAGCAGAAACCAGAGATGGAAGACATGCTTACATGGGTCTCACTCCTTGTATCTCAGAGGCACGGGGAAAAGAACAAGTTACAAAGCAGATACACAGCAGCCTCAGGCCCCTCTAGTGAGGCAGAAAACATTGCCACTTGAGACCTGAAGGTTTCCTTGTAGCCTGTGGCATTAAGACCTTTCTAATGCCCAGTTCCTGTATGGAAACGGGAGCAGTAAGTGCAGACTTCAAGGCAGTTTACTTTGCATTTTTTGAAGCAATACAGGATGGCATCTCTTCTCCCAGCCTAGTACCATTTTTGGAGTCTTGATTTTCCCCCCAGCAAAATTCCTTGGCAGAAGCAGGTGCAGGGAAGGGAATAGAGATGGCTTGCTCTGTCGCTTCTGTCTCACATTGTGCTGTAGTTAAGATGTACCCGCATGTTCGTTTCTGACAGTCCTGCACATCTAGCTGCAACACCCCCCACCCTGTGCTAAGGGCCACACTTCAGTTCTACTGGCCAGTTCCCTCCCTTGTGAATAAGTTACAGCATGTGGATGGTCCCCCTAAAACTGAAGCTGATGTGTCAAGTCACAGAAGAAACCAAGGATCTCACAGAAAACATGCCTAAATACATCTTACTCCTTTTTGGGGGTATGGATAACGAAGGGAGAGCCTTCTCTATAAAGCAAATCCACATCAGATCGAACATCTCCCCAGAAGAAATATTTTTTACCCAGGTTTGACCTAGCTGAGCTAACAGCTGGGACTTCTGCTGCTGATGCTCTTCAGTCTCAAACACTATGTTGCACTATTAACCACCAGGGAGGGCTAGGTCTGAGGCCAAAAGCAATATAGTTTCCTCCTAGCTGGTCCTCCAACAAGGGGCAGAGGGGGTGCTTTTTTAAAGGTATTGTAGTGATCGCTTTCAGCCCTTGACACTAGATGGATTCGCTCTATTCAAACAGAGCAACGCTCTCAACAGGCCCCAAGAGAGAGAATGAGCTAGATGTCCCCTACATTAGGCTGTGCCCTCTGCAGATACCTCAGCCTCATTTCCAGTGTGACAGGCATAGATGGTAAGGCAGACTTTCATCAGTTGAGCCAAGGAGGAAGCAGCCCCAGTGCCCAAACCTTGTTGGGAGAGGGGCTCCCACACCAATGGCACAGTGAAGAGACCCAGAACTCAGGGGGAATTACATGTATGATATAGGAGCAGGAATAGGAAAGCAGAGAATGGTTGGTCCTATTGGCCTAAGCCCTGAAGCCTTGCTTTACTGCAGAAACAAGGATGGGCCCTGCTCCTGCCTATCAGCCCTAGATTTATACACAGACTGCTGTCTGTTCAGTACCCTCATACCCCAGAGCAAAACTTGGATAGGAAAGTTCCACAATGCATCCCACCCTACTGCAGCCCCTTGTTCAGATCCCTTGTGAAAGCAGAAACTCCCCCCCCCCCACCCTTTTTCCTCCACTCCCATGAACACCAGACCAAGGAAAGCAAAGCCTCTCCAATTCTGGTCCTACAGTTAGGCAAAGACATCATAATAAATGGCTGGCTTCCTGGTCGCGCCTCGGAACTGCTCCAGCTTCAGCCCCACACGGAGGAGAACTGCCTCGTCCCACCACTTTGCCATGACCTGCAAGAGGGAGATGCCATCAGTTAGTCATCGCCATGTGTAGGGCCTTCAAGCATCATTAGGCACGGAGGGCAGGGCTTCTCCAACTGGAACAGCCCAGACCTGACCAAGGACCCAATCCCCAACGCTACGTGGGGACCAGCGCATGTCTCCTTGGCACTCACAGACAGAATAGTGGAAGCCATTAGGACTGTGAGAAGAGAAGCAGGGGTGCTAGGGAAATCCACTGATGTAGAAAAGGGCATAAAAAAAATCCTAATACAACAGCTGGTTGTCCTCTGCTGGGTCCAACTGGCTCCAGGGGCCAGCTAGGAAAGCCCTGGAAAAGAGAGTGGGCCTGTGGGAGCAGGGCTGACCCCAAGCACTGCAGATTTGCATTGGAGGGCCCCATCCACAGCCTGGCTCTGCTCTCAGCACCATCCCCTGCGGGCTGGATTCTGAGGCCTCTGATTCAGGAAGCAGAGAGGACCTTGCTAGGAAGGGAGCAGGAAAGACGGCCTGTGCTTGAAATCAGGTGGGATTAGGCATGGAGCAGCAGGGACATGATGTTGGCTGGCAGGTTAGTCCCCAAATTCTAGTGTGCAGGCCCTGGAAGACCAAGGCCATGTGGAAGAGAAGCAGGGTCAAATGAGCGTACCTTGCTTCCTGGTTTCTGCCAAGCCAATGCCAGCAGCCTCCCTCCCTCCCCTACATGGATATGTGGGCAGAAAAAAAGGGAGAGGAACCAGCAGATGAAGAGACCGAGAAACTGAAGCAAGGGGAACAGGGAGGCAGAGAAGACCATCTAAGGTGCACTTGGGAGTAGAGAAGGAGTCTACAGGTCTAAGCCAAAGCTATTCCTATGAGCCAGGATCTGCAGTTCTGCATAATAGTGGGTCTACTGCAGAGATTGGAAGCTTAAAATTTCCTAGCACTGGATTTCATGGTCCTTTGGATGTGTACACAGCCAACAACACACGAGATGCCCAATCCATGCAGAGCAGAGCTGTCTGGTCAGGCCAGGCCCCAGCATTTACAGGGGAGGTGGTGCTTACCTGGAAGTTGATGGGAAGCCCAGCAGCCGTGTACCCGACTGGAACTACCAGGCCTGGAATGCCTGTGAAGTTGGCCAGCTGCATGTATCTGCAAGAAGGTAGAGAGTCACCAGCATGCCTGCTGCTGTTGCAAAACCTGTTCAGTTTCAGGAGCAGGGGCCAGGAGCACTGTGCTCCCACACATCTGCTCCTGAACCATTCCCTTTAACTGCTGGAGCTGGGAGAGATTAGGAGAGTGAAATTCCTTGACAGGCCGTGGTCAGTTCCTACCTTATGGTCCGGATAGTTGTTAGAATATCACTGTTCCCAGTCTCAAGGTCAGTCTCATGGATTTTAGGGGCAGTGCAGGCCGTGGCTATAGAGAGGAACAAGCAGTTGGTGAGCTCCACAGAACCATCCCACCCTCCTGCACAGCCCAGGTACCCACCAAACTGCAGGCGCAACAAGCTCCTCCTGAGGGCTTCAAGACCCCAGCTTGTGCATCACCCCTAGAAAGGGTTTTCCAGCCAACAGAGAAATATGACAACACACAAGAGAGCAGATGCTGGCTCTCTTCTCTTTAGGGAGTATGGCAGTCATTCCAAATTTAGCTGGCAAAGTGTGCAGCAATGTCTACACTGAGCAGACTGGTGGCATAGACAACAACGGTTTAAAGGGTCACCTTCCCCATCAGAGGCAGGGAAAGCTCAGCGTGGGGAAGGTTATGCAGTTCTGTGAAGTAAGAACTCTTGCAAATGACAAGATGAATTGTCATTCTTAAAAAGCCAGGCACCTGCACACCACACACACACACACACACACACACACACACACACACACACACGTGCATGTATGATCAGAGCACACGGTCCAAGCGTAAACTTTATTCCATGGAAGTTACCTGGGGTGAGGATGCAGTTCACGGTGGCAAAAATTTCTTTCAAAAAGCGCATGTTCCGGCTCCTCTGCCGGTTTGCCTGCAAACAGAAAGAGATGGTGGCTGCTACCAAGCCCATGCAACTCAACAGGGCACCTGCTTCAAAGCAGGCAGAATCCTTCAGCAAATTACTGAAAAAAAGTTTTAAAAGCAGGCAAGACAAATGCTTGTTTAGACATAGAAGTCTCAGCCTGGAACAGGGGGTTGGCCTGCCTAAGGGTCTTTCCAGACCCATTTCATTACGATTCACTGATGAAGACCCAGTGCCACCATTCGCTCCCCATGCAATACGCTAACCCAAATGACTCCTCTGTGTCTGTCCAAGTAAGCATTGCTTCCTACACAGAGGGTAGCACCAACAGATTAAAAAAAGATAAAACAAACAAAAAAACCCAAACTTCTCTAAGGCTCTTTACCCAAGGTGATAGACGCTTTAATATAGGTGCTTCCCATAGGCGGAGGGAGAAAAAAAATTTGGGGG